CCTTAAGCAGTGTTATGACAGCCAAGCCATGCCTGGGGCTCTAGTTCCCTTGCTCAGTGTCCCAATTCCGTACATTTCAGCTTCCCTCTTGTTTTGAAATGAACAAGCTGCCTGTGTTGGAAGAGGCAGAGAACTTAAGTTCTCCAGGAGTTGGCAAATGTCTGCCCGCACAGGTATGATGACCCGGGGATACCCGGGATGGGGCAGAGTAAGGATTGTTCTCTGCCGCCCCCTTAGCATCCTCTAGTGACCACTTGCTCAGTCACACTTTGAAGGTGAACGCGCTTCAGCCCCAGGGGCACTGGCAGGAGTCAGCCTGCCAAGCACACACACAATAGCAAGGAAAGCATGCAGAAAGCGACCCAGCCCTGGGGCAGGTCTGAGAGTGTTTGAGCCGGAGTCAGCCTGGCCTGCAGGGGTGATCGGGAGAAGGGGAAAAGGAGGCACTAAGACTCAGTGTTGAGAGAGACTGAGCAAAAAACGTGCCTGAATCTTAAAAGCTTGTAAGTGGCCATCTAGATGCAATGATGGTCTCTCTCTGTCCAGAGCAAAGAAGAATTAAGAAAACCAAAGACTCATGGACACAATTAGTCCAAGGCACTGGTAGACCATGTGATCCTCAGCCTATACAACTATGAGACCAGAAGAACTAGATGGTGCCTGGCTACCACCATCAACCACTCGGAGGGGGATCTATGTAGGAGATCCTGTATAGAGAGGGAGAACAATGTGGAACAAACCCCAAAATCATGACAAAAAAAGAGAGAGAGACCAGGTTTGCTGGTCTGAGAGAGCCTGGTGAAACCCCTGAGACTCTGGCCCCTAGCTGCCCTTCAGGTCTGAAGTTGAACCCACTCCTGTGGCTTCCAGCCAAATAAAAGACAGGCATATAAACTGAACATTTATATTAGGTAGATACACTCCTTGGAGAGATCAATCATGGGAGAATAGAAGGGCTGTGTCCGCACAGGGACATACCCCGGGGGGCAGGAGTGCAGGGGAAGGAAGGACACAGAAGAGGTGGCTATGGGGAGGAAGTGGGAGGGGAGCTGTTGCACTGTGGGAAATTACAGTCAATTTCATGAGACAAAGTGTATGTGAACTGCTGTATGGAAAGTGAATTTGCTCTATCAACTTTCACCCAAATCACACACACACAAAGAAAAGCGTGCCTGAAACTGCTGGAAGTTCGTGTGGCTGGAACATAGCATGTGTGGTAGGCATGGGGCATCAGAGAACAGCAGGGCAAGAAGGGTTAGAAAGCCAAGCCAGTGGCCCTGGAAAGTAGGGCTTCAAACCAGTTCGTTCTGGTTTGACCCCCTGCTGAGAGTTTGCCTTCCAGCCCAGATCTACTGAATCAGAAGCTACAGTTTAACAAACTCCACGGGTGATTCTTGTTCTTCTTTGTTATTGTGAATTGGGTGAAAGTTCACAGAGCAAATTCACTTTCCATACAGCAGTTCATACACATTTTGTCTCATGACATTGACTGCCATTGCCCACAGCGTAACAGTTCTCTTCCCACTTCCTCCCTGTGTCCTTCTTTCCGGTGCGTTCCTGTCCCCTGAACTATCTCCCTGTGCAAATGTTGCCCTTTTGTTCTCCCACAATTGACACTCTAAACTACCTGAGGTCAATGTGCACCCTATATGCCTATCTATTGTTTGGCTAGGATCCCTGGTAGCATAATGCCTAAGGCACTTGACTCCTAACCAGAAAGCTGCGGGTTCAAACCCCCCAGCCACTCCTTGGAAGGAAGGTTGGGCAATCTACTTCCCTAGTGATACCGCCTTGGAAACCCAAGGAGGGGTCGCTATGAGTCCTGCCGACTCAATGGCACATAACAACAACAAACATTGTTTGGCTGGAAGCCACAGGAGTGAGTTCAGTTTCAGACCTGATGGGTAACTAGGGGCCATGGTCCTGGGGGGTCTCACCAGCTCCCATCAGACCAGTAAACTTGGTCTTTGTGATTTTGAGTTTTGTTCCACGTTGCTGCAGGTGATTCCTGTGATCTTGTTAAACTGTAGATTCAGATTCAGTAGATCTGGGGTGGAAAGGCATACTCTCAGCAGGGGTTTGAACTGGAATGAACTGGTTCAAACCTCCGGTGGAAAGGCAGCGAAAGCTTTCAAGCCACAGAAAGGCAGTGCTGCTCTTTGGACCTGGCTGCTGTGTGGACAGTGGGCTAAGGGGGCAAGCCTGGCGGCCGCTGCACCCAGGAAAGCTGGGCAGGCTGGGATGGGAGTAGAGACGGAGCTGGTGGGTGGACTGGCTGGAGAGGAAGGCAGAAGGAGGGAGGGGCAGGACCTCAGTTACTACTGTGCCAGCAGGGTTTGGGTAACAACACAATGATGTAAACAATAGCTGTTTCAGTCTGCGGGGGTGGGGGTTTGTCGTGGTCCTTTTTACTTGGAAAAATTTCCTATCTCTGAAGAGTTGCAGGATAACACCATGGACACCACATATACCCTCCACCTAGATTTACCAAGGGTTGCATTGTGCCCACATAAACATATATATATACATTTCCCCCTCTGAACCACTTACCAGTTAGTTGCAAAACAGGGAGATTTTCTTACATAACCACAGAACCGTTAGTTACTGAGGAAATGTAACGTTTCTCGGTACTATGGTCCAAATAAGTCTGTATTCATATTTCACCAGTTGTCCCAATGATGTCTTTCAAAGCTGCTGCTTTTGAAAAACATGGAAATGCGTTGCATTGAGTTGTCTTCTCTGTCTCTTTTGTTGTCAATGTTAGAAGTGTTAATGTACTTAAAAGAGATCAACTGAACAAAATACAGGAGGCCTAACGTAATTGTTTCTACTATTTTCTGGAAAAGATTATTGTTTGTTTATTTTTTAATAATCTTACACTTACAGAAATGTTGCAAAAATAATACAAAGAATGTTTGTATGTTTCACACAGAGTTGTCGATTCTTTAGTTCTCTCTTATTTATCATTCTCTTTCCACAATTTTTTTTTCCTGAACCATTTGAAAGGTGTATTTTCTAAGGACATTCTCTCACATAATCACAGCACATGTATCAACCTGAAGGAATTTAACATGGATATCCATAGTCAAAATTTCCCAGTTGTCCCAAGAGAGTTCTTTCTCTGTCTTTGGGAGGGAGAGGGAGGCACCGGATCCAGCGAAGGATCACATGTTGCATTTAGCTATTGTCTCTCTTCAGACCACACCCAGTGCGGTGAGTGATTCCCACTCATAAAGGCCCTATTGGACAGGGTAGAAGCGCCCTGTCCGGAAGCAGACTGCCACATCTTTCTCCTATGGAGCAGCTGGTAGGTTCAGAATATCAACCTTTTGGTTCACAGTTGAGGCTTTAACCACTGTGCCACCAGGGCTCCTGCCTCTCTTTAGTATCCTTTAATTGAGGCAATTTCCAAGCCTCTGTGTGTGTGTGTGTGTGTGTGTGTGTGTGTGTGTAGGAATTCTGGTGGCGCAGTGGTTAAGGCATTTGGATGCTAACCAGAGGGTTGGCAGTTCAAACCCACCAGTTGCTCCAGGGAGGACCATGAGGCAATCTACTTCCATAAAGACTTACAGCCACAGAAACCCTTGGGGATTGGCATGAGTCGGAATTGACTCATGGCAGTGGGTTGGGTTTGGTTTCTGGTGTGTGTGTGTGTGTACAGAGTTCCTGTGAGTCAGAGTTGACTCAATGGTGGTGGATGTGGTGTTGATTTGTGTTTATGTGTGTGTGTGACCTTTTTGAAGAGTTCAGGCCAGTTGTTTTGCAGAGTGTCACTCGGTTTGAACTTGTCTGGTTGTTTTCCTGTAATTAAACTCAGGGTAGGCGTGTTTGGCACAAACACCTCTTAGGCACCGTGTCCTTTCAGAGCAGACTACTAGGGAACACACATTAAGATGTTAACTGTGATCAGCTGGTTAAGCTGGGTTGAGATTTTGGCTTCCAATTTCACAAGTTGGGCAAGTTGGTTAGTGCGTCAGTTTTCTCATCTGTGAAATGGCCAGGGGAAATACTGGTTTCACGAGGTTGTTGAATACACATAAAGCCCCAAAACAGTGCCTGGCTCGTTGCAAGGGTTTAAGGAGTAAATTATTACTATTATTATTGTCACTACTATTTTTACCAAAATATATGTTGTTGTTGTGTTGTTAGGTGCCCTTGAGGTGATCTTCAGCTCATAGTCAGAAAATTGTGTTGGACTCAGTCAGTCATGTGACAGAGAAGAACTGTCCTCATAGGTTTCCTAGGCTGTCAGCTTCATGGGAGCAGGTCTCTGGGTGTTTTCTCCTACAGAGTGGCTGGTGGGTTCAGCCTTTCCCTTAGCAGCGGAAAGCTTAACCACTGTGCCACCAGGGCCCCTTCCAAAGTGTAAAGAGACCTTAGTAGATGGGAGGCGCTGTGCCCAGTGCTGCATGCGTGTTTTCTCATCACTTCTTCACTCCTCCAGCACCTAGAACGGTGCGGGGCACAAACAGGAATGTAGTGAGTGTTGTTGCCTGACTGACAACGCAGTGAGGCAGAATGCTACTAATTTCGGCCTGTTTTACAGACGAGGAAACTGAGGTTCGGACAAATGTGATTTACCTAAGTTCCCATAGATTGCAAGAAGTGACAAGAACCTGGATTTAACTTGTAAGATCCATTGTAAAATAGGGGATAAGGAACCTGAACATTCTGTTACATTAGTCAGGGGCTGTGAAAATGTGAACAGGGGGACTTGCACAGTACTCTGGCACGTACCTACAGTAGGTGCTCAATAAATGTTTCAGATGTCCAGGGACCGTGAATCCCAGGACGCCCCACAGCCGAGGACCACAGGACCACGTGTTCCACCAGGGTGTGGTCTCCTATAGCCCCGCCCCACCACCAAAGCGCCGCCCCTAGCTTCTCGCGCTCGCGGACAGCTGGGGTGTTTTGGCCCACGGGCGGAGCCGTAGCCGCAGTCTCCTCGGGCGTCCGTAGCCCAGGGGCGGGCTGGCCAGAACCCTGGGCCAAGCTCCAAGATGTCGGAGAAGGAATGCGAGCAGAGAGAAGGCAGCCGGCAGCCTGGGGCGGTGACAGTTAGCGACGTCCAGGAGCTGATACGGCGCAAGGAGGAGATCGAGGCGCAGATCAAGGCCAATTATGACGTGCTGGAGAGCGTGAGTGTGGCTCCCGGCCCCGCGAGGGGGCCCCCGAGGCCTCCGCACCCGACCCGCCCAATCGGGGACGTCCTCGGCCCGGGCTCTTAGCCGCGGAGCTCTCCCTTCGTGGGAGGCCCAAGGCGTCGCAATTGCGGCCTCTGTCGGCCGCAGGCTGCGCAGGCGAATCACGTTAACTGATGATGACGGTGGTGTTGTAGAGAACGCGCATGCGCCCTGGAGTGAGTGCCGAGTGCTGCCTTGAGTGCTTTGCGTTTGGTGGCTCGCTCCAGCCCTTGGAGGTGGTTGCTATTATTCTCTCCATTATAGGAATATTATCAATAAGTTGTTGAGAGAGAGTGGTGGTCACGTTTACCAGGGGGCGTGTGCTTAAGCTTCTTAAGCTTTAGTAAGCATTAACGGAGATCTTGTCAAAATGCAGATGCTGGAGTGGGGGGTACGTGGGCAGATTCTGCAATCCTAGGAAGCTCTTAGGTGACGCTGCTGGTGCGGATCTAAGGACCGCACTTTGAGTAGGGAAGATTTCGATATTCTGTACTCACCTGAGGAGACCTGATTGCGCAGTGGTTAAGCAGCTCGGCTGCTAACCAAAAGGTCGGGGGTTGCCGCCCGTCAGCGGTTCGCTGGAGGAAGATGCGGCAGTGAGCTTCCGTAAAGATTGACAGCTTTGGAAGCTGTGGGCCAATACTGCTATGTCCTATAGTGTTGCTATGACTGGGACTCGATGGCAGTGGGTTTTGGTACTCACTTAATAAGTGAGGTTCATTATTCTTATTGTGGAAGAGGAAACAGGCTCAGAGTAGAGCACACCCTTGTCTGGGGTCATGCAGCTTGGAAATGGCAGGGCTGGGGCTTGTTCCCAGGTCTTTGCGGCTCTAAAGATGACACACTTTTTCCAGTGCCACCCACAGGAAAAAAAGACAAACCACAGGTCAGTTCACAAGGATGGAGCAAGTCAACTAAATCTCCTACAGGACAAGGTGGAGCGCTTTTGAGGTGATGGCAGTAACACAGACTGTCACGTGGAGGCCAGGGTCCCATTTGACTGGTGGTAACTATATGCCTGAAGGCTGGTCTCTGTGTGCGTTAAATCACGAAACCTTCGCAAGGGAGTCGGTGTGTGCCCCCAAAGCTTCAGAAGGGAAGTCAGTTGCTCAGTCACAAAGTGGTTAAGACCTCAGGCCTGTTTAACCCAGAACCTGTGCTGTCATGCATCATGTTGGCAATTTCTGAAACTTCAGTTACTTTTCTACACGATGTTGGAGCTGTGTGCCTCCTTGCTGTTAATCCCTTGGTATTATTTTAAAAAATTGGATTTTCTTTAAATTCCTTAAAGAAATTGAAGGAAAATGTCTTTTTTCCTTAAATAAGTTTGTTTTGAAAGGAAACTGTATATTTCTATAGCATACGGAAAACCAGTTTCTTCCCTTGTGTATGAGATGGTATGAAATGTCCCTTGCTTGCAGCAAACTGCTGTCACTTGCTGAAGGATTTCTTTAAATAAACAGAAGCCCTGATCTGTTTATTTAAAGAGAAGTACAGACCTAAGACTTGAAGTCTCTTAAAATAAAATACAGGGGTATTAATTAAAATACCTGACCTTGAGTTAGATAAAGGCACCTTAGATATGACACTCAAAGCACAAGCAGTCAAAAAAAAAACAAAAAACAAAAAGGATACATTAGACTCGTTAAAACTGACACTAAAAGCTGATGTTTTATGTTTCCGAGGACACAGTCAAGAAAAGGAAAGGCCTCCCAGAACACCTGCTTCTGTTGCATGAACCAGAAGAACTGAGTGGTACCTGGCTACATTATTGAACATTTCCATCAAAGATTCTATAGAAGAATCCTTATCAAAAAGGGGAAAATGCAGAACAGAATTTCAAATTTTCATGAACTCTAGACTTTCTGGAGCCAAAGATGCTGGAAAACCCCCCAAAATTTATTGCCTTGAAATAATCTTTAAACCTTAAACCAAAAATATCCCCAGAGCTCTGGTGGCACAGTGCCTAAGGCATTTGACTGCTATCCAGGAGGCTGCCAGTTCAAACCCACCAGCCACTCCTCGGAAGGAAGGTTGGGCAATCTACTTCCGTAGATATACCACCTCGGAAACCCAAGGAGGGGTCTCTATAAGTTGGAATTGACTCGACGGCAGTGAGTTTGGTTTGAGTTTTTTTGAGAAGTTTTCTTAAAACCAAACAGTACTTTAGCTTAACTAGTAAAAAAAAAAAAAAAATGTCTGCCTTGAGCACTGTACTCTGTCAAGAACTATCTATATGGGGTTAAGTTGATAACAGCAATTTGGAAGATTAAATAGGAACCTTAGGGGCAGTCAGTTCATGTTAATGGGGGATGAACAGCTCAGAAAAGGAGGTGAGGATGGTGGCAGTCCTTTCATGTTAATGGGGGATGAACAGCTCAGAAAAGGAGGGTGAGGACGGTAGCACAACTTGAAGAGAATCAGTGTCACTGAATTGTCTGCGTAGACGCTGTTGCGACAATGAAATAAATAAAAAAAGAAAGAAGACAGCCCATAACAGTGAGGATGCTCTTATCTCAGGACCGTTCCTTCCTGGCAGAGATCCTTTCTCCACAGAAGTCACACGCACAGGTCCAAGGATGAGGGTTTGGGCCTGTCTTTTTTAGGGGGCCACCATCTAGCCCACTACACTATATAAATATATATATATATACATATTTATATTTATATGTGGCTGGCATTGTGCCAAACATAGGCTAGCTTGTTAATTCTCAGGACAGGTAGGGAGGAGGGGAGGGCTGTTATTCCCATTTTATCATCCAGGAAGCTGAGCCTTGAGAAGTGAGGATCCCAGCCAAGGACACACAGCTTGTACAGGCTGAAGGGAGGTTCACATGAACGTCTGATGCTACAAAGCCCCCACCCCACACCACATGGTGTGCTTTATTACTTTAGTGAATTATGCTTTGACTTATGTAGGAAAAGGCTTTAAAATGTTAAAGCCAGTGTATTGATCTGAATAGGTAATACATTCCCATGGTCAACATTCAAAATCTATGAAAAGATATAAAATGAAAGTCCGCCTCGCTCCCCTGCCTGCCAGCCACCCAGTGCTCTCCCCAGAGGCCCCAGCGATAACTGCCTCCTGGCGAGGCCAAGGTCTTAGCTGGCCCTCTCAGAGCTTGCTCTGTTTCCAGAACTAGGGCTCTGCCCCAGCTGGATGTGCTGTGGAGTTTTCACTCCCTTCTGCCCTTCAAGGCCACCGGCCAGGTGTCGGGGGCCCGCAGTCATAAAGGTTTGGAGGAGTCCAGGGAGAGCCTGGCCTTGGGGATGGTGCTGAAAGGAGTCTGATTTTATCGGCACTGTTCTAACTTTGAAAAAGGAGACTGTGTTCATGTATGACTCGTGTTATTAAACTTTAATCCCCAAAGATAATGGCCACCTCCGAGGGCAGTTGTGAAGTGACGGGGGGAGGGAAGCACCTGGTGTGTGGAAGTGATCAGTATCTGGCAGGTAACAGCACAATAATATATCACCAGTATTGCTACTGAGCAGGAAGAGGGCTTGGGCCAAGGGGTCCTGAGGAGCTTTGTGGAACCTTGTTAATCACATTTCTTCCCTTCAGCAAAAAGGAGTTGGGATGTCTGAGCCCCTGGTGGACGGCGAAGATTACCCCCGGGCAGACGTGGACCTGTATCAAGTCCGAACTGCAAGGCACAACATCGTCTGTGAGTGACCCTTGCTGCACAAATCGAGTCACTACGGTTCAGTGGGATTTGCCCCCCTCTTGTTTGCCTTGTTGGCATGATCTCATTGTCCCTGTCGAGGGACTGAGAACTAAGCAAATGGGTGGGCCTCTGTTGTTGTGGTTGGGTGCCATCAAGTCTCAACTCACAGTGACCCTGTGCCATGCTCACAGTCCTTGTTACATTTGAGCCCATTGTCGCAGCCACAGTCCATCTTGTTGAGGGTCTTCCTCTTTCTTGCTGACCTGCTAGGGTCCCATTTTTGTTATTTCATTTTTATTTTGTTCTTCAAAACTTCACTGTGGACACTTCATTGAAAAAATACAACAGAACCTAAGTCAAAGGTGGCTTGCAAACTTGATCCGTTATGTGTTTGGTAAGAATCATGGTTAGCTGTTGATGATAGCATCATGACTGTGGTGACTTAAACATGAAAAGGTCTCTTAGCCAAAAGCCCTGGGAAGGAAGGCAGTGCTGGGCCTGCAGAAACCCAAGCTCCTCTCTGCTGTCCTCAGGGCATGGTTTCCAGCTTTTTATTTTTCATTGTGGTGAAATATACATAACAAAGCATTTCTACCAGTTTTACGTGTGACATTCATTCATTGACATTAATTCCATTCACCATGTTGTTCCACCATCTATCCATTGCCATATTTTTCATCATCCTTAACAGAAACTCTGTGCCTTTAAGCAGTAGCCCCCATTTTTCCCTCCTGCCTCTCTGATAACCACTGATGAATTTGGATCTCTGCATTTACCTGTCCTGGACATGGCTTCTAGGGTCTCCATGTCGCCACAGGAAAAAGCACTATGCCACCAGAGCTCCTAGACTTAGGAAAGAGGGGACTGAAGCAGGGAGGAAGACAGAAGGTTCTATGCCGGCCGGTGTCGCCTTTGAAAATTCCCTCGTAAGGATCATGGCCCCCGAGAACGTTTTGGCTTTCATCTCCTAGGCCCCTCTGCCTGCAGGAAAGGCTGGGAGTGTACTCCCTGATGTGGCTGTTGCTAGGTGCCCTCCAGTCAGCTCTGTCATTGTGCCCCATGTGACAGAGTAGAACTTCCCTGCAGGGGTTTCTTGGCTGTAATCTCTGTGGAAGCAGCTCGCCAGGTCTTTATGCCTCGGAGTTACTGGGTTCCAACCACCAGCCTTTTGCTTAGTGGCTGGGCGCTGAACCGTTTGCGACCGAGGGCTCCTTTGCACCCAGTGTAGGCAGGCCGAGATCTCCTGTGAGGGTGGCAGTGGGGTGCCCAAGGCTTGGAATGCCTGAGGGCCTCAGCTTGGCTCCAGAGTGAAAGGGGAGAGGAGCCAGGTCACATGGCCACGGTTGAGCACACTTGGCAAGACTAAAGGCCTGTAACCCTCAGGTGTGGGCTGTGCAGGGTTGATGTGTTCTGCCGAAGGCGGCTTCTTATTGTCTCATCGCGGTGTGGGACTCTGAGGGGTGGAGAAAGTTGCTTTAAGGTTAAAAAAATGAGGTATCTCCGAGTTGCAGAATGGTGGCTGATACACAGGATGGACCTGCGGGCCTGCAGGTGTGACTTGTCAAGCTGTGCTTGCTGTGGCACATGTAGTTTGAATCCATTGTCAGTGTTGAAAGGATCAGAGGGCTTCACCACAAAACCCCTCGTTTCCAGCTTTTCTGAACAAATCAAAGGTTTGGTGACCCTGGCCTTGCCTTTCCTAACCCTGGTGTCAGCGAGACACCACAGAAGGCCTTGAGCTCCCTGTGAGTGCTCCCCGCCGGGCGTTCGCAGGCACTGGTTGTGAGGCCTGTGTATCATGTTGTCTTCTGAACATGGTGCATTGAGAGAACAGTGATGCTCTTGGACCCAGCCCGCTCCACTCCTTTGCATGCCCACTGCACCTGCCCCTGGTGGTGTGTGTGTCTGTAGCCGTGGGCGTGGCGAGAAGGCACCATCCTTCTGCTCACCTTCGCTGATCTGGACTGGCCAGGCAGGGCCCCTGCTGGGGAGGCCTTGTGACAGGCCTCCCATCTGTCACTGCAGTGTCTTGTCCCATGTCTGCCTTCCTTGCTGGACTGTAGGCTTCATGAGCATGGGCGCTCTGTCTTGTTCACTGATCTGTGTTTAGGGTCCAGCCCAGTGTCTGCTGTAGATGGAAAGAAGACAAAACAGTGGGCTGTCTGGTGGATTCTGACTCCTGGAGACCCCGGGTGTGCAGTGTAGAACTGCTCCATAGGGTTTTCAAGGCTGTCATCTTTTGGAAGCAGATGGCCAGACCTTTCTGCCAGGGAACCCTGGCTAGGTTCGAACTGCCAGCCTTTTGGTTAGTAGTCAAGTCCTTAGCTGTTCATGCCACTGAGGGACTCCTGTGGATGGAGCGCTTATCCACATCCAGTGAGCGAACGTGAGGGCCTCGCATCCCGCTGTCTCGTCTCTCTGCGCCCTGACGTGGTGATTCTCATCCCAGGCTTGCAGAATGACCACAAGGCGGTGATGAAGCAGGTGGAGGAGGCCCTGCACCAGCTGCACGCGCGGGACAAGGAGAAGCAGGCCCGGGACGTGGCCGAGGCCCAGAGTGAGGCCCTGCGCGGCAGGCCTGGCCTGAGCCCCAGCGAAAGCCCCCGCCCCCCTCAGGCCTTCGCCAAAGTGAACAGCATCAGCCCCGACTCCCCTGCCAGCATTGCGGTAAGTCAGGGCCCTGTGACCCAGAACCTTATCCAGAGGGCTCTGTGGGCTGTGTGGCCTTTGGGTGCAGGGAGAGTGGGAAGACAGACCCACCCCCTCCATGTGGGAGGGGAGCAGCTGTGAGTTCACATGGTCACTCAACAAACACTGAGTGGGGCCAGGGCTTTGGAGTAGCCAGCCCCTGCTTTTCACTGTGTTGGTGGATAGGAGATGTGTCCACGGCGGTGACTGGGACACGGAGAGGGAGGGAGGACCTTCTTGGGGCTCATCTGAGCTGGGCACCGACTGATAGAGTGGTGGCAATCGCGGCAGCTTATGGAACCCTTGCTGTGTGCCAGACCTCCAGCCTAGGGTCTTTAATTGACACTATACAGTTCACCCATGTAGAGGGTACAATTCAGTGGTTTTTAGTACATTTACAGTCATACGTCCATCACCACCCATCAGTTGTAGAACATTGTGTTCTCCCAAAAAGAATCCCTATTCCTCATAGCTCTCACCCGTCCCTTCTAAGCCTGTCAGCCCGGCCGCCGCTCTGCCGCTGTCCGTGTGCGCATTTGCGGGTTTTGGGCACCTCGGAGCCGCAGGCCTGCGGTGCGCGGTCTCGTGTGGCTGGCTGCTTCCGCTCAGCGTCCTGTGCTCCAGGTGTCTGTGTTGAGCACACTCTTCATTCCTCTGTCACTGAATCATAGTTGTCGTGTGGCGAGGCCACGCTTCATTTATCCGTTCACCTGTTGATGGACACGCCGGTGGTTTCCTGTTTGGCTGTGAGAAACACCAAATGCTGTTAGGACATTCGTGTACGAGTGTTTGAACAGATGTGTGTTTCGTATTTAATCCCCCTGCCACCCTGTAAGGTAGGTACTTTTCTTCACCCCATTTCACCCTTGAGCAAAAGCCTCAAAGACGGGAAGCAGCTGGTGGCAGGCCATGGCTGGGGCCTGCGTCCAGGCCTGCCGGTGCTCTCTGTGGCCTCTCTCTTGGCCTGTGTGACACGTGAGCCCTGTTTCGGTGCTGTGGCATCCGCAGCATCAGCCCAGTGCTGGAATCGCCACACGGCAAATGCTTGATGAGGAAAGAATGAGTGCTGATCTGTGTTCTTGGGACTCGGACGAAAGAGTGACTTGAGTCCAGGCTCAGCCTGTGCCTGCGGCTGCTTGTTGAGGGGCTTCCGGGGCAAACGTGTGTCCTGTCTCAGTCTTGACCGTCCTTGCTCTGTGGTGGTTCTGTTTTAGAGCCGCTGGCTTCAGGGGCGGCTGTGTCGGCCACTGCCCCTGCAGTGCAGGCTGGCCTGCACCTTGTCCCTAAATCCAGCTCAGCCTCAGAGAAGCTGCGTTTGGCCTTCATGCCACCAGCTCTCAGACTTTTAGGGGCTCATCTGCTGGACCCACCTAGAAGGACCCCCTGGAGGAACTGGCCCGTTGTCTTGCACCCCTTCCCACATGAGGATTGAAATCCCTGACCTCTTCCTTTGAGCCTGCCGTTCTCCCACGAAGAACACAAGCTCCTTACTGTGACATCACAGTGCATGTTGAAAGGCAGGCAGCCTGGCAGCACAGTGCACTGCAAGCCTGGTTTTCCTCTCTCTCCTTTACCAGGGTCTGCAGGTGGATGACGAGATTGTGGAGTTTGGCTCTGTAAATGTTCAGAACTTCCAGTCACTGCAGAACGTGGGCAGTGTGGTGCAGCACAGCGAGGGGGTGAGTCGGGGCTGTGGTGACTAGTTGGAGCCCTGGGGCTCTAGGCCTGGCTGCCCTAACAGTGCCACTTCCCAGATAACACGTCAGTTCAGGCCTCACACTGGCTGTCTGCTTGCCTTAGCCTCTTCTCTCCCCTGTCCTCTCTTACCTCCCTCATCTTTACATAGCGTCCCCTTCCCACTGAGCCCTTTCCCAGCCACGCCGTCTCTGCTATCCCTCTCCCTCTTCCTGCCTGCTCACTTTCTTCTGCTCCCTTCTCTGCTCCTAGTGTAAGCTCTCTGGGACCAGAGATGTCGGTTTCATGATCCCTTGTGCTCACATTCTGACGCAGCAGCTGTTCAGGGAATGTTTGTTGAGTGAATAATTGCAGCTGCCAGGCACGTAAGGCTGACAGACTCCCAGGCAGCTCTGTGGGCGCGTATTCTTGTCCAGTCCTTTTCAGAGAGGGACTCTGCTGAGTTCCATCTTGCAGCTAAGAAAATAGAGGGCTGGGGGGGCACGCAACTGCCCAAGGTGTCAACCTGATACGTGACAGCAAGGGGTTTCAGACCATCTCCAACATCTCTCAGTGAAGCCATCCTCTGCTTCCCACAGACAGCCTGGCCCTCCATAGGCCCTCGGTCACAAGGGCACAGGACACATGGCCCTGTCCTGAAGCTTATGTTGATTGGTTCCTTACAAGTTAGAGAGGGCCCTTGGAGCGGTTTTGTTTAAATGTCCTTCACAGACTTGAAATCACACTGTACTTGATGTTTTTTTTATTAACTTCCTAAGCTGTGTTAGATGCCTATGAATACCATCTTTTACCAAAGTAAACGAAGTTAAAGATGCACATAGAATCCAAAGTCAGTCTCCCCTTTCTGCTTTAGTTTTTCTGGTTTTACTATATTTTTTTCTGTTGTGGTTAAAAAAAAAAAAATGTAATAAAACATTTGTCATTTCAACATTTTGTGCATGTTTAATTCAGTGACATTAATTATGTTCACCATGTGTGTGCACCACTATTCATTTCCAAGTGTTTTCATCACCCCACACAGACACTCAGTGTCTGTGAGCGTGTCTCCCTGCCTTCCCCTCCCACTCGCCCCTGGTAACCACTAATGAATTTTGTCTCTACCGAGAACTTACTATGGATAAAGTGAAATTCCCTGTGAGCATCAACCCCACTTTGGATCCCTTCCCCATTTGATGTGCATTTTCCCTGCTCTTTTTTTGTGCCGTTAAATTCAAGTAACGTGCATGTAGAAACATGTCACGTGGTTTTGAGCTCTTTGCAGTCTTCTATATGAATGGTATAAACAGGAGGTGGTTTTTGCCACCTTGTGGTTTTCACCTCACGATGCTTCTTGGAGACCTGTTCATTTGGTGCATACATCATTCTTTTTCACTGCTGCATAGTACTCCATGGCATGAACGGAGTGCAGTTTGTTCATCCATCCACTGCCTGATTAGTGGACAGTGAGGTTTCTCCAGTATTACACTGAGAGGAACAATAGTGTGTACTTGTAACAACAGCACATATGTGGGTATTTCTCTAGTAGAGACTAAGAAGTGGAATTACAAGCTATCATCGTGTGCACAGGAGTCTCAGTGGTGAAGTGGTTAAGTGTCTGCCTACCAGCCAAAAAGTCGGTAGTTCCAACCCACCAGCTCTAGAGGAGGAAAATGGGGCAGTCTGTTTTTGTAGAGACTGCAGTCTTAGAAGCCCTGTGGGGCAGTTCGACCCTGTCCTGTAGGGTTCCTGTGAGTTGGCATTAACTCTGCAGTGGGTTTGGGTTTTTTTGGTCCTCCACTGAGCTGCATTAGTTCTCCTGTCAGATCA